CATGATGAGAACTTTACCCCTCCAGAGTCTCCAACTGGAAAGGACAAGAGAACCGGACCAGAGAAAACTCAGACTAGAGTCCAGTCAGTGGCTGAGTGGAGAACACACACCCCGTCCCTCCATCCAGTCCAGAGTGAGACCCCCATGCCCCAGGAAAGCTGCCCCCCGGGCAATCGCCCTCCCTCTTCCCAGGCTGAGGCAGGGACGATTCAGGCCTGTTTAGTGAGAGCTGGGTAAGGACAAGCCACGTGGCCAGGAGCCACCCTCCTCCTGAGCACACCAGGATGATCTAGGGCATTGGTTCTCAAACTGGTGGTTGCAACCCCTCAGGGGGTCACAACCCAGTGATGTGGGGGATTGCAAGCTCCAACCCCAACCCCTGCGCCGGGCTGCCAGCCCCAAGCTCCTCCAGCCCCGCTCCACCCCCAACTCCACTCCACTCCACCTCCAAAGAAAGGGTGCCAAATAGAAGTTTGCCCAGGGCGCCATTTTTCCTATGGCTGGCCCTGGTACTGAGACAACATTAGAGGGCTTGATTCGCAGCTGAACAAGTACTTTATTAATTAACAGTCAGAGACATAAGTGCAAACTTTTTCCTGAAAATAATGGCCACTTGTACTGCTAAAACCGCTAAAAAACGAAAGGATCTCGAGTCTTACATTAAACTTGGCTTTACCAGTATCATCACCTCTGGTATTGAAAAACCGCAATGTGCCATTTGCTGTGAAGTTTTGAAGTTTTGTCTGCTGAATCAATGCAACCATGCAAACTGCAGTGACATCTTGAAACTAAACAACCTGAGCATAAAAATTGAAACATGGATTTTTTCAAGCACAGAGAAGAAGCAACAAAGGTCAATTCATTTTAAGCAATAGGGTTTAAAATTTAGTATTTAACATAGTGTTAAATATCAAAAATGTGCTTTTAATTTCTAAGGGGGGTCGCCCTCAGAGGCTTGGTGTTCGAAAGGGGTCACCGATACAAAAAGTTTGAGAACCACTGATCTAGGGCAACATCTGGGTCCAGACAAGCCCCATGTTGCGGTGGGTGGTGCTGGTCCCCATACTCAGGAGGGGAAGGTCCATTTCCCACCCTCTCCCACACGACTCTTAGCCCCACACCCAGGATCTGGCCTCTCTGGGCTCCGGAGTTGGGCAATGCCAGCCTGTGACGAACTGGGACTGTTCTTAATGTAGTCTTTGAATGCTGAGTGGGGAGTGTTGGCTGGGAAGGCAGGGGAGTGTGGCTAGGATGGTCTGCATGGGGGGATGGGAGACTGGCCGAGGGAAGATACCTGAGCATGTAACATGAGAACCCAGGAAGGGGTTAGAGGCCAGGTGACACCTTTGCCCTTGAAACTGAACAAAGGGTGGGGGGAGAGTTTCAGATCTGGCTAGTGGAATGGCTGGGAGGCAGACGGGGCTCTGACCTAACTGAGGGGGTCCTGTTGTCTGTGCCTGCAAGACCTGTCTTGGACTGTGTCCCTGTTTTCTAAATAAACCACCTGCTTTACTGACTGGCTGAGAGTCATGGTGAATCGCAGGAAGCCGGGGGTGCCGGGCCCTGTGTCCCCCCACACTCCGTGACACAGCCTGAGAGCAAGGAGCCCAGGAGCTGGCATGGAGGGTGTGAACGGGAAACCCTCCCCCCCGTGAGGAGTGGGGGAGTGTGGAGAGCACCTCGTGGGGAGCCTGCAATATTTGTGCAGGGAAGGGGGGCATGGTCCCAGGGGCTGGGGAATCCAGGCCCACCCTTGCTCCCTGGAGCATGGGCAGCAGCATCGGGACCAGCGCTCCCTACAGCTGCCAGAACAGTGACACAGACGGAGCCCCACCTCGGCCAGCTCCCCCATCTGGAGAGGGCCCCAGGAGAAGCATCTGGGCCCAGCACACGCCATCCCCACGGAGCAGAGACCAGAGCTTACAGTCTCAAATACCTCAGTGTGGGTCCACTCAGCTCCTCCTCTCCCCGCGCGGGGTCCAGCCCTTCCTCCTCGTACTCCGTCAGGTAGTCAGATTCCTCACCTGGGATGGGAGCACACATGGAGCTGGCAGTTGCTCCTGGCCTGGCCCTGGTGCCCCTCAATCCCGACCTGCAGCCCCCACTTCTATCCCAGCCCTAGCCCCCCTCCCCCAGCCTTGCTGGGGCCCCAGAATCCTACTGGAGTGACATGGGCAGAGAGCCCTGCGTCACGCCCCCTGCCCCCACTCACCATCAGCGTAGCCATCGGACAGGTAGCTCTTGGCCGGCTCGATGCAAGACACGATCTCAGCCAGATCAGTGAACCCCGCGCTGGGGCAAGTCAGCACCTGGGGGGTGAGAGCCAGGTGAGAGATGCCCCCGCCAGGTAGCCCTGGGGGGTGGGATACAGGGAGGAAGTGCTATGTGGGCTGAGCTAGAGAGCGGGTGGTTCAGGAGGGCTCCGGTGGGTGAGGACAAGGAGTGGGGGGCATTGTGGCAAAGGGTGTGGGTCAGGCTCTCACCCCATGGCTCTGAGTTCAGCCCCGAGGGGATCCCCCACTTCGCCAAGGGGCTCGGCCTAAGGACAAAGGGACCAGAGCCACACGGCGGCCCCTGCTGGAACTGGGGTCTGCACTGATGAGGGAGGGCACTTCCTTGCCAAGCCCCCCCACTCTCCTTGGAGCCCCCAGCCCTACTACTTGGGGCGCCAGGGCTGAGGTGGTTGTTCCCGTGCCTCAGGCACTGGTCCTGTGTCATGGGGCTGCCACAGCCAGGACCCTGTAGGAACGTCAGCTTGGCACAAAAGGGAGCTAAGCGGCTGGAGTGTGACGAGGCACAAACTGTAGCTACCCATCCCCTGCTGGCCCATGCCCCACTGTTGCCCCCTCACTCACATACATGCGCTTGCTCTCGTAGAAGTTGGCCGAGCACCGGTCCTTCACCATCTTCTCAATGATGTCGCCGCGGCTCCAGCCGCTGAACATCACCTTGCCATGCTGGTAGCCACGTCCTGCATGAGATGGATGGGCAGGGTGAGGGGCCCACTCCTTCCAGCCAGGTGTGGGGGGGCTGGCCAGGCCAGGCAGCACCCGCTGCAGAGCAAGACATGGATTTGCCCTGGGTGCTCCAACGTAGCTGGGGGACTGCTCCCCACACGGGTGGCCATCAGATTTCCAACCCATCCCCTCAAGCAGGGCCTCTCCCTCCCCAACCTGGGCACAGCCAGTGGCCCAGATTGGGGCCTCCCACCCTCCCCACCCCTGGCCAAGCGCAGCTCCCAGTCTCCCATACCCTGCTGAGCACTGACCCCCCTCCCCAAGATCAGGGCCTCCCACCCACCCCACCCCCGTCTGAGCACAGACCCTCCCTCGGCCCCCCCATATCGTGGGGGCCTCCCACTGCCCCCACCGCTGCCCGAGCACAGACTCCTCTCCCCCTCCAGATCATGGCCTCTCACCCCCAGCCCAGTGCAGCCCAGGGCCCAGATCAGGGCCTCCCACCTCCCCGTCCCCAGCCGAGCACAGACACTCCCCCCACCCCTAATCAGAGCCTCCCACATTCCCCATCCCCGTGGCCCAGGCCATCTGGACTCACGTAGATCTCGTCGAACTTGCCAAAGTCCATGGTTTTGAAGCGGTTGATGGGTGGGCGAATGTATTCGCAGTAGGAGCTCGACTTTACCACCTCCAGCTGGCGCACACACGACACATAGGCCAGACGCGACTGGATCTCCGCCATGTCGGGCACCTGTATGTGTGTGGGGAAAAACAGGAGTGTCCTGCAAGGGGGTGGATCAGCCCCACCTTGGACAGCATCCTGGGGCAGGGGGCTGCAAGGGACAGTCTCTCCTACGTTCTGCAGATCTGACCCCCCCCCAGCTGGCTCAGTCCAGCTGAGTGGCCGGAGCCGGATCTCAGCAACTGCCACTGGGGCATCAGGAGTGACTGTGCCCAGCCAGCCTGAGGGAAGCCACTGGCTGCCAAGGCAGGCCCGCATGCTCAGACAGGAGCAGCCCTGGGAGGCGGGGGCTGTGGCGGAAGGGCCCCTGCCTGCACCTAGGGCTGTCGCGGGGGTGTTTCGGGCGGCGTGGGGTGTTTGGGGGGGGGGCCTTCGGCGGCGCAGCGCTGGCAGGGGTGGCGTGTTGGGCGGCCCGGCACGGCGCTTGG